CATTAGGTTCTTATTGGGTACAACATTACTCCACTAAAAATTATAATTATAGGTCCAGTTTTTCTGGTAGTCCCCATATAACGGTACCCCCAAATTTTTGGTGTTTTGGGTGTCCTGATCGTATTTTTCGACCGAATTGACTGTAATTTAGTACGTCGAGTTCTTATTAGGTAGCAAATCTCTCCACTATAAATTATAAATATAGGTACATTTTTCGGGTAGCCCCCATATAAGAACACCCCCCATTTGCGGTATTTTGGGGTTCTTGAGCGCGTTTTTCCACCAAATTCTTTGTAATTTGGTTTTTTGTAGTCGTATATGGTAACAAACCTCCCTCCCAAAAATTATAAATATTCGCCCCCTTTTAGGGGTAGTCCCCATATAGCCCCCTTTTTATACCCTTCACCACACTGTGGTACAGGGTATTGTGTCTTTGTGCATATGTTTGTAACAGGCAATCAAATCGAGATAGGCCCATGGTTCCTTTTGAGAATATGCATAGAATCACTGAATTAAGTCCCGACTGGTGGATGTGCAATTTTGTTGAAATCGGGCCAGAGTTAGATATAGCTCCCATATATAGTTTCGTCCGATTTAAAGTAAATTGTGCACCAAACTCCCAATATTGTTCGATTGAAGCAAAATTTTGCACAGAGTTCCGAATTAGGTCCCGACTAATGTATGAGAAATTTCTATATCAACAGGATATTTTAGATATTAACATGTCTTGCATGTACCCATAGTGGTGAAAGGTATCATATAGTCGGCCCCGTCCGACTTTTGAACTTTTCTTACTGGTTAAAATTGAAAGAATTAACTATGTAGATTATATTGAAAGTAGAATAATACAAATAAGAGAGTGAGATGCATAGCAGTAATTTGGGTTAATCTTTATATAATGGTACCAAAGAAATATTCGGTATTTTGAGGATTTTTGACAAGTCTTCAATAGCCCCCATACTACAACATTTCGGTATTTTTAAGGTCATAACCACATAACCATTTCCCATTGCAGGGACTCTAATTTGGCATTCCGAGATATTGCTACCCTCCAATATATGGGAATGTCCATTTGTTTTGGAAAATTTTCTATATTGGTCCAAGTTTTGATATAGCACTACTTAAAGTTCCCGGACCATTTTCTGTATTACATATATATTATCCGACCCCACATTTTCCGAAAGGACACAAACTGTTTATCCGAACGACTCGAATGGAATGGTGTGTGTCTATGTTTATTTAAATTTTTATATCCTCCACCATAATATGGAGGGTATATAATTTTGTCATTCCGTTTATAACACATTGAAATATTCATTTCCGACCCTATAAAGTATATGTTCTTGATCGGGGTAAAATTCTAAGACGATCTAGCCATGTACGTCCGTCCGTCTGTTGTAATCACTCTAGCGTCTAAACGAATTGAGATAGATCACCAAAATTTTGCATAGAGTCGTCTTTTGTCTGCAGGCAGATTAAGTTCGAAGATGGGCTTTATCAGTCCACGTTTAGGCATAGCTCCCATATAAGGGTACCCCCCAATCTTCGGTATTTTGAGGTTCTTGAGCGCGTTTTCAACTGAATTCACTGAAATTTGGTACATTGAGTTCTTATTGGGTAGCAAATCTCTCCACAAAAAATTATGGATATAGGTCCATTTTTTCGGATAGCCTCCATATAAGGGTACCCCCAATTTTTGCCATTTTGGGGTTCTTGAGCTCGTTTTTCAACCGAATTAGTTCCAATTTGATATTTTGTAGTCGTATATGACAACAAATCTCCCTACCAAAAATTATTAAAATTCGCCCCCTTTTTGGGTAGACCCCTTATAACCCATTTTTTATATAAAAATAGTTATCTAATTTGTTCAGCGTTTTGGGTTTGGTTCTAAGAGTCTGTCGTAATCATTTAATCTGCGGAGGATATCGAGATAAAGCTAGAACATAAGGTTCGATAATGAACTATAACCCGCATTAGGCCTAGCTCCTGTGTGGGAGGTATCAGAAGGAGTGGACCGATAGTCCACATCTTCGAACCTGAACTAAGTTTGGAAGAAATAATAAGACAGGCACTGGTGGGATGAAATCAAATTTTTCTTGAACATGGTTTCCATAATCGTATTGTAGAATTGTCGGTATAGGTCCACTTTTTGGTACTTTCCTACATTTTCATTTCAAGTACCTGTCAGTATATCTATGGTGGAGGGTATCCAAAGTTCGGCCTGGCCGAACTTAACTCTTGTTCACTTGTTTCTCATTTATTTAATAGTTCTTATTTCCATTATTTCATTTCAGGCAATGTCAATCATCTATTGCTTTGATATGTCCACAACCAGAGATGATATGAAGAAATCCTTTAATTTATTAAATAAAATATTAAAAAATCCCTATGTCAGGGGTAAACCTGTACTTCTGGTTGCAACAAAAGCCGATCGGACAGATGAAAGTATACAATTGTATGATATTGAAAATGCCTTCCATTTGCATCGAATGGCTAGCATGTATGGCAGTACCATAAAACTATGTATATACGATCCTAGAACTGAGCATATGGAATCGAATAGAAGTATAAACATTAAAGCTGGCCTAAATTGGCTGGTAAAATTCGTAGTGGATAATTACGATGTTATACAAATACGTTTAAGCTGTGATAAAAATATGAAGGTAAGTGAAATACCGAAATTTCGCAATCAATTGATTTCGATATTCATAATTGATAACTGAAAATTGTCTTTCAACAGGACTGGGAACAAAATCGTGACAAACTTGTGACCGAAGGAAAACTTAATTTTCGTGCATATCAAAGGTTTCCCAAAGCTTCCAATCGTCATAAAATTTGGCGTTTGTCTCACAAACGTTTACGACGTAGTTTAATACGACCACGTACTGCTCCGCCAAAGTTAAGTTTCATCTCCACAATGAAACAGAATAATTTAGCTGATCCGAAAATATCTTCTTCCAACCAGATTTCATTAGCTGACACAAGTAAGGTGCCAAATGGTGTACTGCCGCATGAAGATACATATACTGAAATTCGATGTAATATTTAATGTGACAAAAAAGTAAATAAATTGTTGTTCCTTTCGTAATTGGTATTTTCATAATTTACACAACTTCGACATTATTAATTTTCTATGATCGAACTTAATATTATTCGTTTTTCTTAAAACATCATTTTCCTTCCAAAATTTCCAAAAATTTCCACTTTTATGTAGTTTTTTTACGTATCAGACGAAGTCAGGAGAAATATGATTTCACGTTGAAATTGAAGTATGGTGTGCGATATTGGAAATCTACTATCTACATATTTGCATCTTTGTTTAATCCAATTTAAGGAACTGCATTCATTGCTATCGGATCAACTACCACTGAACTTTTACTTATGCGGATCTATGTTCCGAGTCTTGGTAATATTTCGCGATATTTGCACACTATTGACCGACTAGAAGTCAGCATTTACACATTCGTACCCTGGGATATTTTCCGAATCATGTCTTTTCATATAATTCGAATTTTAATTGACAAAAGTCTCAGTTCATTTGACCTTAATATTAAACGACAATTCAATCTATAATTCGTAAGATCTACTTCCCCATGGAAATTTTTTTTGCTGTTGGGCTTATAATTGTGACGTATAGATAGAAAATTAGACAAAAATAAAGTTATCGAACCATTTCATAAACCAGAAATGGTAAATATAAACGTGTAACTCCCACATCCGACTAGATGGTATTAATTTAAAGGCCAATCACGCCTCTTGAATATGCTGTCAACTTATAATATCTTTGTTCTTCTGGAACAAATATATACGTCATAGATGTTGCCACTTTTCACACAAAAGGGTCCATTGACCCCCTAGATATTGACCGATCTTTATCAATCATGACCGATCTTTCGGGTCATAATTGCAGCCTCTGTAGCGAACAGAAAAACAAACGAAAATGATATATTTGTGTCCATTTCATCCCTTAAATATTAAAGAATAATTTGCAAAAACGATTGGGGTCTTCTCTGGACAGAACCGGTTTTACATGCACTAAACTATTGGGGCCACAACAAAGCTATAACACCCTGACAACCTAGTTTTGTAGAGTATAACAGAGTATAGCCCCATTTATGATAAAGATGACAGATTATAGAAATAGATGACAATAAGAGGACATACATTTTATAAATGACAGCCCGTTGAAATAGATGATTGTCCTCTAAAAAAGTTCAACCGGTCCGAATTACTTGAAATAAAAACATAGCGTACATACCTATACCGACATTTCTACAAACCGATTATGGTTCTAAATATTTTCTTTGTTTCTTTGGATCAAATTTGTTTCAAAGGTGCCAAACTTTGCCCATCATATTTTTTCTTCCAAAATTAGTTCAGGTTCGAACATGGGGAATATCGGTCCACTCATTCTGGCACCCCCCACACAGGGGCTAGGCCTTATTGCGGGTTACAGTGCATATATATGTCTATATATAAGGTAAATTATCGAACCTTATGTTCTAATTTTTTTTTTTCGTATCTTCCGCAGATGAAATGATTACAGCAGAGTCATAGAACCAAACCCAAACGCGGAACAAATCATTTTACTATTTTAATATAAAGAAGTGAAAAAGCTTTAAGTTCGACCGGGCCGAACTTTGGATACCCTCCACCATAGATATACTGACAGGTACTAGAAATGAAAATATAAGGAACATACCAAAAAGTGAACTTATACCGACATTTCTAAAAACGGATTATGTAAACCATAATGTTAACCATAATACAAATTTCAGAATTGTTTAATGGATAATTATACCCTCAGGCTAATGGCTAATGGGGTGTATACACTTGAACACGGTGAAAATGTACCTCATCGAAATATTGCTTCTAGACCCCATGTTTCTTTGGACCAAATCCGTTTTAGAAAATTTAAATTTCATCCAAACTCTGCCCATTTTATTATTTCTTCCAAAATTAAATTCGAAGAAATTCGAATATAGTTAATATCGGTCCACTCCCTCTGGAACCACCACATAGGGGCTAGGTATAAATGCGGATATAGTTCTTTATCAAACCTTACGATCTAATATTTTATCTCGCTATCCTCCGCAGGTGAAATGATTAGAACATATTCTTAGAACCAAACTCAAAAACACAACTATGTTGTCAGGTTATTATAGCTTTGTGCAGCCCCAAAAGTTTGTAACGCCGCGAAATATTGGTCCTAGACCCACCTTTAAATATACCGATCGTCATATCTCGACTAGCTGAGTCGATCTAGACATGTGTGTCCGTCCGTCTGTCCATTATAATTTGTAAACACGATACAGGCCACAGTTATGGACCAATCTTCACGAAATTTTGCATGTTGGATGGGTTCTGGCCAATGAAGACCCCTATTGTTTTTGGAAAAGATCAGTTAATATTTAGGGGATGAAATGGACCAAATACTAAATTTTTGTCGGTTTTTCTGGTCGCTCCAGAGGCCGCAATTATGGCCCAAACACCGCGAATTTTTGCATGGAGAAGGGGATCGGGCCAGAGAATAAGCATGCATGTTTTGATAAAGATCGGTCAATATTTAGCGGGTCAAATGGACCCTGACTTTTGTGTGAAAAATGACAAAATTTGTATTCTATGGCATATATATTTACTCCTGGAGGATGTAGACCCCAGGAGTTGATAGCATATACAAGAGGAGTGGTTGGCGTTTAAATTGATACCAAATATAGTGATGTATCTACTCAGATGTGGGAGTTACAGTCAAATATTTACAGGTGCTTACGTTTTCAGATATTATTTAGTAACCCATTACCACATTAGAGGGAGAAATATCGCGCTGATGGCTTTGAAATTTTTCATGAAGTTCCAGTTATGGTCAAGAACAACGCCTACAATTTTCGGTGATGATCAGATTAAAATTTTGGGATGAAATGGACCGAAAACATAATTTTTTGTGTGTTTTCGAGTAGAGTATAATCCGACAATCACAACACAACCCACCGTGAAGGTAATCTGGACAAGTAATTAGAAGGACTGTACTGAATATTCGAAAAAAGTAAGGAAGAGGTGTTGTTAACCTCTAATCGGACAAGGGGGGGCAAATATCACGAAATATTACTCCGACTCGGAATAAACATCCTCAGAAAGTTAGAGTTCGTGGTAGTTGTGTGGGGTATCGTATGGTCGGCCCCGTCCGACTATACTGCTCCGCTCACTGTTTTTTTTAAATATTTTTTACGTTTAGGCTGATTTTTGAGTTTTAGCCTATTCTGAGACTTATAGTAAAACTTTATGGCGAACATTTCTGTAGAATATTCTGAGCAGCTTTAACCCCGTTTTGAATGAGTCTTCCATCGCTCCTGGAAAAGGGGACCGAAAAGACCCCTTTAATGAGTTGGTTGAGGGTTAAAGATGCATACCAAAATATTCCTGGATATTTTGTCAGTAATATTGCCGAAGACACTATATACCTAAAATGCAAGGATTTCAAGAAATCATAATTTAAAAACCAGTGAGCGGAGCAGTATAGTCGGACGGGGCCGACCATGCGATACCCTACACAACTACCACGAACTCTAACTTTCTGAGGATGTTTATACCGAGTCTGAGTAATATTTCGTGATATTTGCCCCCTCTTGTCCGATTAGAGGTTAACAACACCTCTTCCTTACTTTTTTCGAATATTCAGTACAATCCTTCTATTTACTTGTCCAGATTACCTTCACGGTAGGTTGTGTTGAGATTTTCGGATTATACTCTACTCGAAAACACACAAAAAATTATGTTTTCGGTCCATTTCATCCCAAAATTTTAATCTGATCATCACCGAAAATTGTAGGCGTTGTTCTTGACCATAACTGGAACTTCATGAAAAATTTCAAAGCCATCAGCGCGATATTTCTCCCTCTAATGTGGTAATGGGTTACTAAATAATATCTGAAAACGTAAGCACCTGTAAATATTTGACTGTAACTCCCACATCTGAGTAGATACGTCACTATATTTGGTATCAATTTAAAGGAAAACCACTCCTCTTGGATATGCTATCAACTCCTGGGGTCTACATCCTCCAGGAGTAAATATATATGCCATAGAATACAAATTTTGTCATTTTTCACACAAAAGTCAGGGTCCATTTGACCCGCTAAATATTGACCGATCTTTATCAAAACATGCATGCTTATTCTCTGGCCCGATCCCCTTCTCCTTGCAAAAATTCGCGGTGTTTGGGCCATAATTGCGGCCTCTGGAGCGACCAGAAAAACCGACAAAAATAATGTTTTTGGTCCATTTCATCCCCTAAATATTAACCGATCTTTTCCAAAAACAATAGGGGTCTTCATTGGCCAGAACCCATCCTACATGCAAAATTTCGTGAAGTTTGGTCCATAACTGTGGCCTGTATCGTGTTTACAAATTATAATGGACAGACGGACGGACGGACACACATGTCTAGATCGACTCAGCTAGTCGAGATATGACGATCGGTATACTTAAAGGTGGGTCTAGGACCAATATTTCGCGGCGTTACAAACATTTGGGGCTGCACAAAGCTATAATACCCTGACAACATAGTTGTGTAGGGTATAATTATTAAAATTCTTGAAAAGGGGGAATATTGCCCCCACTTTTTAGGTTACCTCCCGACGTAAACTTTCAAAACGCCGATACACGTGTCTTCTTTTTTTAGCCACTCTTTCATAATATGTTGGAATTTCCCGGTAAATATTTTCTGTGTTGCACAGTGTTATCTACCTACACTTTAAATCTGATATATTTCCGATTTTGTTTTAAATTAATTTATTCTTTAGTCACACATTGCAATTAGTGATAATGACAATGTACTCTAAAAAAACAACAAAACATGAAATGTCAGAAAAGAATGACATTTGACATGCAGAATAAAAAGAATAAAACTTCTCACGAACAGCCGTCGCGGCTATAAAAATAGAAACTACAATAATTCATTCATTGCAAAGTTTTGCGTCATTCATTCATTCAACGAATTTCTTATAAATTTCCATGGGGTATTAAATGATGGCATGGCATG